AATACCTGCACGACTGTATTAATTTTCTTGTGCAGACTGAATGAGACGCATTTTTATTTTATATAATTGGATTATTAAAGTAAATTAAGAAGATGCTGTTATTTGACATTAAGCTTGTGTTTGGGACCATAAGATGTGTTATTCCTCGCCTTTCAGACCCAATGAAGCGAAATCATGTGTCACGACACATGGACGGACAGTCAACAAGAAGTCAAAGGGGAAGACCCAGTAGGACAAAACGCACCAACCAGACAAGGGCCGAGGTCCTCACGCGATGTTCGAGGCTCTCAAACAACCTGATGAAGCCCAACTTGGGGGGTTTCTCCAGAGGCTAAGCTCATACCCATCCGAGGTTCTCCCCAACTCGTCCGAGGTCCTCTAAGCCAACGCTATCTCCTATAATTTATTCACAGATCAATTAGAAGTGAGTGATTTGACACATGTAATAAAACTGTCAATGTGTCAGCCTATTGTATAGAGCGGCTAATCCTTATTAATGTATTAAATGCATAAATGGACAAGGATGTGATGCCTCAATGGGGGAGATGAGGCCACGTGATTTTGATCAAACGATTACCACGTCGGCCAATGCGGTATAAATAGGTCTCTTTGTAATTAAAAAGGGAGGGATCACGGTGATAAAAGAAAAACACATAACGATATATTGGAACCATACACTTGAACTCTTAGGAAAAACACATGAGCATTTTATCTATCCTTCCACATATTCTTGTTTACAATAACATAGATTAGTTTGAGTTCAATCTCAATCAGACGATCATTGTTAGCGCGATCGTTTCCGTTCCACCGGCCGGAGCTCGAACAATTTTGTCTCTTGTCGTAGAGTACCTCATGTGTCCATTCCCTCACTGCTACCGTTAACATTCCAGTAGGAATGCGTCGGAATCGTACTTGACTAGCGTGAGTAGGCTTGGCATCTGTTGATTCATTTTTGGGGGTCAACAAAATGAGTGGTTAAAAATCAGTTTGAGGAAAAAAGAATTTTAAAAAATGGGATTATCTATTATAATTTAAGATCATATTACACGTTAATGGAAAGGAACAAAAATCTGCCAAAGGTGTATATGATTAATGTTGAAGAAAGCTGCTGGTGACGTGGAAGAATGGCCAAGTTAGGTCGAGTAATTTTTGATCGGACGCGTTACCTAGTCAATGAGTCGAGGGTCAAATCTCTGTATAAGAAGTATTTCGATGTTAAATATCTCAATTGCGATTGAACTTTTTAAAGTGATTCTCAGTTGTCGTTAAACTTTGAAAGTTCTCCAAGTTGTCAATGAAATTTCTAAAATATTGTCTCGTTTGCCACTCTAATTGGCTTGTTTAAAAAGTACAATAGAGATACATTTTGTAAATTGACATACAGATACAATTTTTGTTATAGTTAGAGAAGCAAGGGACTAGGATTGCAATTTTTGTTAAGTATGCACCCGGGCTTTGTTGAGAGCCGTTTAACAGTGTCTGGAAAGGATTTTTCTTTTTAAATCTTGATTGAACAAAATATTATCAATGAAATTTCTCTCAATCTGTGTCAATTGTACCATAAATATTTTTACTTGCGTAATACTCTCAAAATAAACTTATTTCTCGTTTCATCGTGCATCAAGTATCTTATGAAGATACACACAATCGTCTCCATAATTAGGATTATTCTCGGTCACGTTCTCAGCTCTTCCTCCAATATTATACCGCTTACATTCTCGATTTGGCCCCCTTTATTCCCCTACTCTTGTACTCTCCCTATCTTGTCGCTTTGGATGGATGATCATATATTATTTGATTAAGATATTTGAAATTTGTATGTAGTCCAAGCTTTGATCCTTTCATATTGATGTTAAGGTCGTATGCTCTAATATATAACCAAATATCTTTCTAGATCACAACGTTAAAGTTATATGCTCTGTATCGATTAAGTGGATGGAATTATAGATTTTGTCCACTAAGAATCAACTTTTCAAATACATCGGTTCGAAAATTCTTGCTTGATAGGGCACCTTTGTGGACCACTAAGGGCAAACAAAGAGGAAGGAGAATTCCAATCTGTCATAGGCATGAGAAACATTAGCAAAATATCGACTTACTGATGCATGCATTCCCTTTAATTGCTTGTTGTATTCCATCCATGCCCCTTGCTTGATATGGCTTCCAAGATGCAAACTCAGAGTCTAGAACAAGAAGATTGAAGTTTATTCTCAAGTTTTCATGGTCTTAAGGGAATCTAAGCACCTGTTTGGACCACATTATTTTTTTCATTCTCATTCGTTTACTCATTTTCAACCACACATTTTTCAATAAAATAATATTTTCCATCACATCAATAACTTTTCTCTCTTTTTCAACCACATATTCTCCATCACGTCACTTCAAAAAATTGTATTCTTTCGTTTTAATGTGTACCAAACGGATTCATATTATTTTTTGCATCACACAGGTATGAATAAACTTCAAAATTACTATTCTTATCTTTAAAGTTCCATTTATTATTATTATTATTTTGTATATTCAATCTTGACATAAATGGTCCATAACCTTCAAATCTTGACACGAATATCCCTAACATTTCGGTTAATGAGCTCAATTGGTCATTTTGGATTGTTTCAACCCGACTGACCATAAAAATGTCAAACTTTTGACAAAAAGACTAAAATGCCATTGCTTCAATTTAATAAGTAAAAAATAAAATAATATATAAAAAGAAAAGTCAGCTCATTTTACTAATCAATCCCTTATGAGGGTATCATTTCCAAGGGAATCGTGGATTGCTTAAAAAATTATGTGTATGTCAAAAATAGAATGTTCTAAAAAAAAAATTAATATTCAATTCAAGTTGAAAGGGATTCATCAAGATGATGTGATAAAGAAAAAAACAAACATTTTCTAGAACTCCATCTAAATTCAGAAGCTCCGTTAAATATATTAATGCAACAAAATTTATATTTCATATGCAAAAATTTTAAACTTGAGTATTTACTCATTCGACATCAATATCACGTAAATTGAAAGTATTTCGATATCTATTTTACTCTATCCCAACAACTCGAAGGAGTCTTTATCATCTTGTATTAGACTTTAGAGAAAGATTTTTAGTAAACACCTTCTATTTTCCTTGCATGACATAAATTTTAAAGCAATTCACTGTTGCACAAGAGATGTTTTATGAGAGATTGATTAGGATAAGTCAGCTTTTCTGTCGAATTTTTAAATTGTTTTTCTACTTATTTTATTAATCTAACTAAAGTAGGAGCATTTTAGTCTTTTATCAAAAAGTTTATCGTTAAGAGTTGTGCTTGATGTACATGGAAAAGTAGTATAAGGTTTATATTGAGGACGTGTCATTTTCTCATGGGAAGTTTTCAAAAAAATAGAAAAGATGCAACCATATAAGTACTATCAACGCAACACCTGTAAGATCCCTGTACAATTTTTCCCTGCAAAAAGGAATAACATAATGATATCTAACACTAGTGATGCTAAATCACCAGTTTATGTGACATTATATTATATGTTCTATTAAAGGTGAAATTATGTAAGTCATTTAATGGAACTTGTCATTTAAGTGATTGGGATATTTATGCCAAAATTTGAAAGTTAGAGATCAATTGCACAGAAACCTTATAATTTGAGCCAATTTTCACTTGGACCATGCTATGTGTACATAGGGGTGTATATAATGTGAGAAGGGTGAGCCCCACCACTCTCACATTATGTACACCCTTATGTGTATTGCTATGTACACATAGCAATATTCTTTTCACTTAGGCTTCGTTTGATAGACAAAGGTGAAAAGAAATTTCAATTCCATGTCAATTGGAAAATAAAAACTCACCAAACCCGTAAAAATTCGTTTTCCATGAAATAAAGAAAATACAGTTTAAAGTGGTTGTACCTTAGAATTCAGTTTCAATTTTCACGTTGCAATCAAACGGCAAAGTAGAATTTTTTCTCGGATGTGACATTTCTCATGAAATTCCATGCTATCAAACGGATCCTTAGAACTTGCTTGAGCCTCATTTTTATTGAAAAGTGTATCTTGAAATAGAAGATTGATAAAAATTGTGGTTAAAAAATAATAAAAAAAAATGAGTTTACTTTGTGTATAATATTATTTTATTGAAAAATATATAATTGAAAAGAAGATATAAAAATGTATTTTAAAAATAACGAGAATTAAATGAGTTTATTATTAGAATTTTTTTTCCTCGAAGTATGACAGTATGTCATGGCTGAAAATTTTGCTGACCAGAATAATGTATTAAAATAATTAAAAAATAAAAACCCAGACACATCCCAACTTCGCTAAACGCCACAATACAAAGACAAAAATACGTTTCAATTTTTGAAGTTCGGGTGATGGATTTCATACACACCGTTTGCCTCCAGAAACAGCGTATTCTTCGATCTGTAAGCTTTTCTATAGACCTAAATTCCCACGTTCCATATCGTTTAATTGTTATTAAATCATTTACATTTTAAAATCCTTCGTTTTTCATTTCAAGAAGTGTTTTTGCCTTTTAGGGTTTCGATAAAGCGCAGATCTTTATGAACTCCTTTGAAGTTTTTACGTTAAATCCAAGAAAAAGTTGGGTGCTTTAATTTCATAAATTTTCTTATATGTTTATATTTACTGGGATGCATGAAAACTGTGATTTTTACTCCGTTTTGCTCTATTTTTAGCTTTTGGTAGAAAGTTCCACCCTATCAATTTCTTGTTTTATGTTATCTAGTTAAGCATGGAATAAATGTAAAGTGAGGTTCTCTTGATTAGGGTTGGAAACTCAATGTAATCACATTTATTGAGTTCGAAATGTAGTCTAAGTTGAGTATTAATTATTGAATTTTTGTTCTGTTTTGAATGTTTACAGATTCAGTCCAATTATTAGGAAGTGCTTGCATATAAATGGCGGAGTCAAGTTCAGTGGACAGTATATTGGAATTTCTAAGAAGAAATAATTTTACAAAAGCTGAGGCTGCATTGTGCAATGAACTGTATAATAGACCTGATTTAAATGGGATTCTTCAAGAACCCACGCTTGAAGACAAAGCATCAGATAGTAAATTGCATGAAAAAGCAAATGGTGGAAAAGTAATTGAAGAAGACAGAAGGATGACCATTTTGCCAACTAGTGGTGAAGGTGCAAAGGAGCCAACAAGTTCTCCAGGTAGTGGGGAGGTTTCTAAGGAGCTTATTGTGAAGGAGATAGAGTGTGGAACGGGGAGAACTGGGCCTGAGAGCAATTGGAAAAGCAATAGTTATCAGGAAAATCAGAGTAAGGTTAGTGAGTCAGTCAAGACAAGAGATAAGAACTTTACCTTCTCCAAGAGTTCAGATGATACTGATTTGTATTCGTGGAAGCACAATCCCGGTGATGGTCTGGTTCCTTCTTATCAGAATGATGGTGAAAACAACTTTTCTGGCTTTCAGGTTCATGGAAATTCTATGCTGAATTCAGCTGAGATTCTCAATAGCAGCAAGGATAATGCAAAATCTGGGGAAGATGTTAGTATTTTTGGTGATAAGATCATGTCTTGGCCTGGGAGTACTGGTAAAGCCAGTGTAGAATCGAAGCACGAATGGAGTGACAAGAGTCAGCTTAAGGAAGTTGATCAACAGCAAAAGCTAAGTGGCACATGCTCAAAAGACAAACTAGTGGATAATCCCTGGTCTATAAGTGATGAATCATCGCATCAATCATCAGAGCTGTGGAGAAATTGTTCGGTTAAAACAATTTTCCCCTTCTCCAAGGGAGAGACATCAGCGTGTTATGATAGTGCTTCTGGTATTGGTGGTAAAAAGGAGGGAAAAAGAAAAACAGAACTTGACAACATTAGGACTGTGATTAAGGAGCAAGTGGATGACGTGGGAAGAGCTTTGTACTTTGGGAAGACTCATGGAGGTGATCCAAAACATTTCAGTGCATTGGATTTTCCACACACATCTGAGAATCAGGAGGAAGAGTTACCAAGGTTACCACCAGTGAGACTCAAGTCAGAAGACAAGTCCTTCAATATTCACGAGAAGTTCGAAGGTGAACCTGGTCCGAATATAACGAACGCTGACAATGCGTATGTCATAGGGTCATTTCTGGATGTGCCTATCGGACAAGAAGGTCTCTCCTCAAATTTACTTTGTTTATGGTATACTTAGCATGATTGCTGATATGATGGCTAATACATGTTTTTAATTCACATTTTACCTAGGTCAAGGTTTACCGTATGTGAATTAGAATTAGCTAACCAACAACATACAATGAAAGTAACTGATCATTGCAGGATAAGCATGTTTTCTTCTTACTTCTAATGAATTGGTGAGATTTTATTTAGTAATGCACCCAAAAGTTTATTTATTCCTTGAAGATCCAGCTTTATTCAGCTATGCCAAATAAAAAGACATGCACAACCGCGAAAATAACCATTCCATGCTACAAATTGTTAGAATGCTGGTTGTAATATGAACAATGTGCATTGGGACCAACTTAAGCACAAAAGTATCGCTTTCCATTAATGCAAAATTATTTATTTTCCTTCTGTTATAGGCAGTTTCACTATGTCTAGATTAAGAAAAATGCTGAGAGAGTGTGGTCTGTCTTCCATTAACTGGCTTCCAAAATAGAGATGGAAACTATAACAAGAAAGATTATAATTCTAATATTGGACACTTGTTTCTCTCTTTATTTTTTATAAGAATTATGTTTCTCATTTCTTCCAATTTCATCTCTTTCCTTCTCTTCGGGGACATCACAGCCATTAAATTTCTTTTAGTGTGCATTTCCATCGAGTGACTATTCAACTATTCTCCCTCTTTGACTTATTTAATATACTTTGTTCTTCCAAATGATGATGCAGTTGGTAAAAAGATTGGAGGAGGTAATTGGCTCTCGGTAAGTCAGGGTATTATTGCTGAGGATGCTGCTGATCTTGTTTCTGGTTTTGCAACCATTGGTGATGGATTGAGTGAATCCGTTGAATATCCAAATGAGTACTGGGACTCTGATGAATACGAAGACGATGATGATGTTGGCTACATGCGACAACCTATTGAAGACGAGGCTTGGTTTTTAGCACATGAAATTGATTACCCAAGTGACAATGAAAAGGGTACTGGGCATGGGAGCATTCCAGACCCTCATGAGCAGGGTCAAAATAAGGACGATGAAGATGATCGATCATTTGCAGAAGAGGATTCCTACTTCTCTGGTGAGCAGTATATCCAGTCGAAAAACCTTTCTCCAATTATACCTTCAGGTGATCCTGCTGGGCTGTCAATGACTGGACATTACAGGAGAAATGATGAGAATGACTTGATCACCCAATATGATGGACAGTTGATGGATGAAGAGGAACTAAATTTGATGCGTGCAGAGCCTGTGTGGCAGGGCTTTGTCTCGCAGTCAAATGAACTCATCATGCTAGGGGACGGAAAAGTTCTGAATGAGTGTGGAAGGCCTCGTCTAGATGATATTTGCATGGATGATGATCAGCATGGTTCCGTCAGATCTATTGGTGTGGGGATTAATGGTGACGCTGCTGATATGGGTAGTGAAGTGAGGGAAAGTTTGGTTGGAGGTAGTAGTGAGGGAAACTTTGAGTACTTCCATGATCATCATATTAACACTGGTAGGTCTACAAACTCACAGCATGATCCAGATAATAATTATGGTGAACAAAAAGGGAAAAACATAGTAAGTACACATAACTTCAATGAAAATATAATGAGTGATGATAGGGGTGCATTTCCACAAGCAAAAAATCACGTGGATGGAAGCTTTTCATTTCCTCCTCCTAGAGGTGGACAGTTGGTGTCGACAAGCTCGAATAAATCTGTGTGGCCAAGCAAGGACAACAATGCTGTCACTGATAAAGCCGATGATAATACAGTGTGTAGCAATGACATACTTGCTTCAAGGAGGCAAAAAAGCACCCACTCTTCGCCTGCCAAGAGCTCAAGGGACGAAAATACTGCTACTGTTGTAGGATCAGTGAATTCTAGTCCATCATCTCTTTCAAATTATGGGTATATCGAGAGAGATGATGTAAAGAGAGATGAGGATACCAAAACATCAAGTGTAAGAGAAGAAGATCCCGGGCCATCTTTAGAGGATGAGGAGGCTGCTGCTGTGCAAGAGCAAGTGAAGCAGATAAAGGCACAAGAGGAAGAATTTGAGACCTTCAATCTGAAGATTGTCCACAGGAAAAACAGGCATGCATTTTTTCTCTGCAATAATGGGAATTGTTCTACTAATTAGTCTTGTTATTCAGAGTAACGCTGTTAAGAGATATATCCTTATTATTCACTATGTGAGTACATTGAATAAAGTAGGTTTTCATAACTTCCCATATGTAGAGTTTGAAGTGGAGCACATTGTCTCCTTTTGAATTGGAGTTGGGTTAAATTGAGCAAAGTCTAATTGATATTTTGGTTCCATCTGAGAATATTAGGACATTGTATTTGTTGATGTCAATTTCATCGAAACATCAAGTCTTTTTCTCTTCTTTTGTACTTTTTCTATTTTGGTCGATAAACACAGTGGTTCATGTTGGCAGTCAGCATTGTCTTGGTCATGATTACAAGATGGCAACACTTGGGGCATTACATGTTTGACTCAAAGCATTAATATTTAAAATTAAGATAATTTACATCCTTCAATGCTTATTATGTCCGAGATTATGATGCAGTTAGATATATTTTCACCTGTATAAATACAATTGAGTTTGATGGTAAATTTTGGTTCAATTCAATTGCATTAAGAGGCAGTTCACATCTTGGTATATGCTGTTTTACCTTGTCAGAGATGTCCCTTCTCAAAATCTTCAGGCTATTTTGGAAATTTTGATGTCTAGTGGGTTTCTTCTTACTTTGAATAATTTTCTTTTCTTTTGTTAACATTTAACTTTTGGTCAGTTGTTAACTGGGTTCTGTTTGCTACTCAGAACTGGCTTTGAGGAGGATAAAAATTTCAACGTTGTTTTAAATTCAGTAATTGCTGGGCGCTATCATGTCACTGAATATCTTGGATCAGCTGCTTTCAGTAAAGCCATTCAGGCACATGACCTTCACATGGGCATGGATGTCTGTGTGAAGATTATAAAGAACAACAAGGATTTTTTTGATCAGAGCCTTGACGAGATAAAACTTCTTAAGTATGTGAACAAGCACGATCCTGCTGACAAGTATCACATTCTTAGGTTGTATGATTATTTCTATTATCGCGTAAGTTGACACTTACCCCTCCTATTTTCTAACTGTTACTCATAATTAGTTTTAAATTGCTATAACTTCCTAATAGTTGTACGTGTGATTTACTAAAACCTGTAACTTGTCCTTCTAGTTCCCGTCATTTTCTAAGATATGCCTAATACGTGCTAGGTATGGAACTTTTTACGAGATTTTTTTGACTAACCCAAGAGGTGCAATCATGGTGTTATGATTTTTCCATAATAATTAGATTGAGAGTGATTGTTTTAGGTATTTAGGCCCGATTAGCAATGTGGAAGCTTGACTTGACTAGGATTAATGTATGGATTTAAATCGGTTAGATAAATACAGAGAAGATATCTAATGAAATCCAAGTTATGTGGAATGATTCTGTACTTGCTATGTCTCGTGGTGCTGACTTTTAAGCAGTTAAAGGGAAAATGTCCACCTGTTGAACGTAGTAGAAAGTAAGATGTCAAGATGGATATGTGGTCATACTAAAATGGTTAAAATGAAAAATGAGCTGCATGTTTTCCTATTGACTTTAGGTTATTACCTGCTAATTACTATCCTGTTGCTTTAGCCCAAATCTTTGTTGACCATATTCATAATTTTCAAATTAAGATCAATTGATAAATTTCTTCAAGTAATGAAAAATTGAAATTTATTGTTGATGCGCTCGTCATTCTTGCGATGCATGCATGATGCATCTTTATCAGTTTATCAGCATTTCAGTCTGATCAGTGTTTGGTGCTTGAAATTACCTTCTAACCTCTCTTTTCATTTGCAGGAGCACTTGTTAATTGTATGCGAATTGCTGAAAGCAAACCTATATGAGTTCCAAAAGTTTAATAGAGAATCTGGAGGGGAGGTCTACTTTACAATGCCAAGACTGCAGGTAGGTGGCATGCATGTTATATGCATCTTTATCTTATTGGAGTGTGATCACTGACTTAAGAATTTTATCTTGCAGTCGATTACCATTCAATGCTTGGACGCACTTCAATTCTTACATAGTCTTGGCCTCATACATTGTGATTTGAAGCCTGAGAATATTTTGGTGAAAAGTTACAGTAGATGTGAAGTGAAGGTCATTGATCTGGGGAGTAGTTGTTTTGAAACAGACCATCTTTGCTCATATGTTCAATCTAGGTCCTATCGTGCACCAGAGGTTATTCTGGGACTTCCATATGATAAAAAGATTGATATCTGGTCACTTGGCTGCATCTTGGCAGAACTATGTACTGGCAATGTAAGTTCTTTCAATTTCCACGAACTTCATCGTTGTCCTTCTAGCAATATCATTCTTGTAATATCTATAACAGGAGGGTCAACTGAGAAAGTGAGTTTCTAGACGAATTCTCTATTTATTTTCTTTTCTATTGTGCTCTATGCGCCTTTCATTGAAAACTATACTATGTTAAATGATGCTATGCACACTTGTTCAAGTATTTTGGGTAAGTTATGCCGGTCATTTTTGTGCGTGCGCAAAATTGTTCTTAGATAAGACCTTTTCACTTGGTCCTCTGATGTAGGACATGAAAACTCATTTATGGTGAACAACCCACAACCTGATGTAGGCAGCTGAATTTATGATGTCAAATGTATTGCTCTAGTAGCTAGGTTGTGAAGCAGCAGGAATGGAACTACATTGGAGGTCATAATGAAATTGCTAAAATGAATATGTATTAATGCATATTTCCAGAAAGAGTAGTTCAATCATTTTTGTACTTGCAAATGAAATTTATGCTATAGGTAAAGGTGCCTGGCTACTTCCATGCTTCTTGAGTTGTGCGGTGTCGAATTCATTGTGGTCAGATCACACTTTTAAATTCTCGTTGTCACAATGCAGAAACATAGTTGTTAGCTGCATGCAAAGCGCAGCTAGGCATCGTAGGTACTCAATTTTTGAGACACAGTGCCTTTAACAAATTGTTAAAAAGCATAAATCACAGGAAAACAAGAGCTGGAATAATAGCACACTTTTTAGGTTTTGGTTTTATATTCCATCTGATGTAATGAATTTATTCTTTTTTAGTGTTAATTTATTTTCCTAACTGCATAGAAAAAAAAAATTATTCTCAAAATTAAGTGCTTATTTAATATTTATGAAATTAACTGATATTTGCGATTTACTTGCTGAGTATATTGTGAATTTATGAAGATATTTTGTTTAGTTGTAATATGTGCTTTGCTTCTGTGAAGTTGTGCTCCTCTGTTCTTTGCACGTGTCCCCAATGATACTTAGTAGCCCGTGAACTTTGTGTGTTTGATCACCGCTGGTTGAAGTCAATACACTGACAAAATTCCAGGTCTTGAATCATAATAGGATAATAATTTAGTGGTTGGGAATGAGAAGCTTAAGCATCTTGAATTTTGGTTGGATTGGTATATTTGGTCTTACTATTCATACATGCATGAACAAAAAAATCTTTATAATTTGTATTTTCTTTTGTTAGAAATCAAGTTAAATGGCATGATGTTATTAATGATTAGCATATTAGCATTATCTTAAAGACTTGCTGAAATCTTCAATGATTTGTTGCCTCTGATTGCTGTTGGTACCTCTTGGATCCTGATAATAAATGTAATATGCTGTTGACCATGTTGTGTAGGTACTCTTCCAAAATGATTCTTCCGCGACTTTACTTGCTCGAGTTATTGGAATCATAGGCCCCATTGACCAAGAGATGCTTGTTAGAGGACGAGATGCATACAAATATTTCACCAAAAATCACATGCTTTATGAACGGAACCAGGTAATATTGTTTGCTGTCCCGTTTGGTCCGTTACTTCAAATTAAAAGTCTAACAAACAAAAAATCTTTCTTAAATGCTAAGAGTCATTGTGCAATTGAAAAAGCATATACTTTTTCTGTATCACAATGTATCTAGGACAGGTGTGGTAGGATTGGAACCCAAATGAACATTTATATGAACTGCCCTTATTTTGCATTTCTTATCCTCTTTCCCTTAACATTTGTCATAGGATTTCCAGCCACCATATTTTTGGTTCCTATACGTATACAGGGACCAAACATAAGTTAATAAGACTGAAAATTTGAAGTCGTGTTTATAGAGGCTGAGTTTGAGGTTCTTATATCAGCTACTGATTGGGTCACCACACATGGTGGGGAGGACAACAAAATAATTTTGTAGAATACCATAATTTTACTTGGTATATTTGTAGTCTTTTGAGTAAGGTCATTGTGTGAAGCAAGATAGATGTGAGCTAGCTACAGTGGCACACACTTCGAAAAGGAAAGGAGTCGAAGATAATGTACTAAGCTTACGGAGAGCAGGAGAATGCTCGTCTCCACTTCGGTAATACTTCTTCATGGTGCTACCAAACTGACAGTGCAGGATAAGGATGAGGATGAGGTTGAACGTAAATTAACGGAAGATTAATCTGAAATTCATGTGAGGCAAAAACATGCTTCTTTAAAGTGGGAACATAATGTTATATGCTTTGTGCCACTTGCTTTACAATATTCAATTATAGAGGGGAAATATTAAGCCCCAGTTTGGTCCTCATTCTAAAATTCATTTTCAATCACACATTTTCCTAATAAAATAATTTTGTACATGGATCCATAACTTTTCCATACTTTTTAACCACACATTCTCCAAAAAATTTACTTTTCACAAAATCTAATCTCAAAAAATCTCTACCAAACAGGGGCTAAATCATGGAGATCGGACTTTAGGAAGAACGTTTACATCTTTGCAATACAAAACAGGAATATTTAATATCTTAGTTTTCATTGACTTCTTTCTATCTGACACAATGTACGTGTGTGCGTGTTACTTCTCGTTTATCCTTGATTATTATGGATTTTCTTCTTAAGCTAGCACTTGGAAAACAATGCTACTGCAGTGTTGGTGACCGCCATTAGAATTATTAGCACATTTAACTTTTAAGTGCTTTTTTTGGGCTTAAAAAAATACCTAATAAGGTGCTTTTAAGCACGGCCCACACGTGCACCAGACAAGATCAACACTTTTCTCCTCTACCTGATTCTTTTATTGCTTTACTTAAATGCACAACCAGGCCAAAACATGGTGCATGTGTCTATTAGTTTTTGTATATATTATTATTATGAACGTATCACCAGTACAATTTTCATTGTTATCAAAAATTGTCGAGGATTCTCCCTCTTCCATCATTTTTCCGTAATCTTATTTATCTTGTGCAGGAAACCAACAGACTGGAGTACTTGATACCGAAAAAGTCATCCTTGAGGCATCGGTTGCCAATGGGAGACCAGGGCTTCATTGACTTTGTTGCTCATCTGCTCGAGATGAACCCCAAGAAGCGCCCTTCTGCTTCAGATGCTTTGAAACACCCATGGCTTCAATACCCTTATGAGCCAATATCATCTTGAAGAATTCAAGATTCACGAGTTGAGTGTTTTCCGCTAAAGGAGCACCATATAGGTGCTTCAACAAGAGGGAGGAAAAGATGCTGGCGACGTTTAATTGAAAGTTTCTATTCGTCTGCAATTGATCTTCTGTGAACACCTATTCCTTTAAGTGCCTGCACAATTGGAATGCGTGTTTTGGTTCTGACGGCGACATCCATCTTCCATATAACTGCTTTGAATTCCCATTTATTCTGAACTGAAATTTAATCTCCCATATGCAATGACTGTAGGGTTTTTCGTTTTTCTGTGTCTCGTTTGGTGGAAGGGAAGCGTTCACTCTTGTTGTACATAGTGTGATAATTCTTTGAGGTTATTGTGTAATAGCTGCTTACCATTGCCCATTTTGATTACTTTTTACTCATTCTTGTGGGTTGTATCATTGTGAAACAAGCAAGCCAGGTAACATATTAGGCTTGGCTAACCTTGTTTGATGTATTGAATCCTCTTTAACTTGTGAATATGTTTGTTACCGCCGTATTTTTTTGAACTGCTTTGACAAACAAAAGAACAGATGATTCATGAGATAGATGCATATATTCATATGAAATTAGTCCAATGTTGACAGCAAAGCTTGTGATTAGGGGTGTAAAATGGACAGAGAGGCTTTGATTGTTCTCATTGTTAAAATAAAAATAAAATAAGGCTCGTGGACCCACCAATGATCTCAATCCTGTATGACCAGCTAGCCTCAGCCTGACCAGACCATTTCTACATTTGTACTTGTCACTTTTATTCAAATGTCGTATTTCCATGGGAAAAAAAATGTACATATCAAAATCTAATTTTGATATGGGTTAACAATTAATTTTAGCTACATATTTTATAGGTCTTACAACTTTTCAACCACACATTTCATTAATTTTTATCAAAATTTATTAAAATTTTAATTTTAATCACCAGTAAACATGAACCTAGTAATTCAATTAAATTTTTTGCAGAAAACAGAAACTATAGGTACCAATTCGAAGCACGCGGAAACGATGGGGATTGAATTGAGGCATTCTGAAAACATTGGGACTGATTCAAACCAAATCATAACTTTAGGGACCAGTTTTCAGCTTGCAAAAAACAAAAGGTCCAATTTGCATGGATTGTAAAGTTCATGCACTAATTTGCATATTGACTAAAATTCAGGAGCTCTTTTGTATAATCCAGAAACTTTGAGGACTAATTTGCAATCTTGGGCTGGCCATATACTTCTTTGATTGCACAAAGTTGATTAAGCCACGACTATTTTTGGGGAGTTCAGTGCAGAGCATTGAAGAGGGTGTGATGTAGCCTGGGTTAGCACGGGATTTTGAGTGCACTGTGTAATATTTTAAAATGATGTTCCTTTCATGTAATTAAAAAAAAAATTTAAATGGTATAACAAAAACTTACTCTTCTAGAACAAAAAAACAATAATAAAAATCACAAAATAGCAATTAACAAGCAGACAATCGGCACCAATAAAATTGTGATGTTATGATGTA